GTAACTATATTTATTGCCATAGCAGTTTCAGCTCTGACTCCCATCATTCTGAGATAGGAGTGGTGCTATCATATTTTATTTATTTATTTTTAAGTTTATATTATTTTTCATATGCAGTTTTATAGTACAGGGATTCCTCCCTCCCCCTCCCTTTCCCATTCTTGCCCCCACTGTTTTCCCTCATAACTACTAATATTTTTAAATGTCCTCCAGGTTATTCTAATGTGTAGGAGAATTGGGAGCATTGATCCAGATAACTCAATCATTTTGCTCTGCTTATTCACCCATGTAAAAGAGACTTGCTGTTTATTTGAGAGGGAGGGAAGGTAGAAGAGAGAGGGAGGCATTCAAAGGGGAGAAAGAGACAGAGAGACAGAGAGAGACAGACAGACAGAGAGAATCTTCATTTGCTGGTTCACTCTCCAGATGGCTGCAGGAGCTGAGACTGGGTCAGGCAGAACCAGGAGGTGGTCAATTCAACCTAGAGTTTCCATATGGGTGTCAGGGAGCTAACCATTTAGCTGTCACCTGCTGCCTACCAGGGTGCACATTAATAGGAAGCTGGACTGCTTCATGTGCTCAAGTGGTCCTACTATACCACACTTATAAAACAACCTTTTGGTCCCAAATGGCCTAAAATCTTGATATAGTTACATTTTTTTTCTCATGTTAAGGTGCAAGGTAAACTAGAGAAACTTTTTGGGGGGGGGATTCCCAACAAGGCAGGTGATTACAGAAACCTCTGTCCACCATTTCCACTCTGACGGACACTGGGAGGAAACCATGGATGGCTCCACATTGGCCAACCCCATCCTCTGCCCCAGTGTGTCCTCGCTTCTTGGCAGGTTCTTCAAGGAACAGGGGGAACTGCCACAGAGCAGCTTCTCCCCCTGGATAATGCCAATTTTATAGCACTTTATCCCAAGCATGCAGAAGTCACCCCAAAGCAGGAATCATGGTAAAACTTAGTAGAAGGAAGTAGCTTAATAAAAGGTATCATAACATTCCCAATGTTCCAGTGTGTCTCTGAGTAGACTAGCCCAGAGAAATGATTACAAAACACCAAAATCACTCCTGATTCCCTTTTGGTGATTAGGTTCTATTTGTCTTCATTGTCTTAAAGACTTTCTATGCATTTTTATGCCGCAACAAAGACTGAATTGATGAAGCCACTACTCACTATTCCTTCCTGAAAGGTATAATTTGTTGCCCTAACTTGAGTCTTTTATGAGTTTAATCATTTTTGCATTGTCATCTGAAACTACAAGTTAGTAGCAATGAGCCTTGATGACTCTATTATCTTACATACAAAAATTATAAGAAAGAATTATTCTTCATTCTGAAACAAAGACAGATTCTCTATAAAAGAATGCCTTTAAGTCTTGGGGAATGAAAAATTTCAGTATACCAAGGTAATATTACCAAAGGTTTATTGAGTGTTTCATGTTATTTGCTAGTTTGAGTGGAAATGACAGCAATCAGTCTTACCTTCTGGAATCAGCAGGAGGAAAATCATGCTGGGGAGAACCGAAGCGCAGAGGATCCAGGAGTTCCTCATTGCGGCTGAGTCCCCACATCAATCAGCAGAAAAACCTGTTTGTAGTTCTTGGTTGCCTCTGCCTATATATCAAGCAAGCAGAGGATGTGGTTGGATTTTCTTTCACATTTCAAAGTTGAAAACGAAACCCAAGCTAGAGAACACTGGTAAGTCTCTTATTGCCGGGGGTGTGGCATCCTCCACTGGGGCTGCTAAGGGCGCGGCAATGGCAAGGGGACCTTACTGCTGTCAGGTTGTAGCTCATGCTAGGGATTTGGCAAACCAAGTATGTTTCCTGGGTCCAGGGACTGTAGTTCTCCAGCATTGAAGTGGTCCTAAAACTAGTGAAGACAGATATCTTTCTGGCTGTCTCTTTGGGATGTATATGGTCAATAAGCCAAGTGCAAGTGGAGAACAGAACAGAGTTGTACAAGCGCGCATGAACCTCTGTCTTGATTTGCCTTCCCTGCTTTGGGGAGCCTGTAGCAGATGTGTGGACACGGATAAGTAGAGTTGGGGGCTAGCCCTCTTTTCACAGTTTCTCCAACTTAAAGCCCTCCTCCCTTTCTTTCTTTTGCATTTAGTTGAGCAGGAAAATGGGAGTCAGGTGAAGTTAAATTAGTCTCGAGGAATGTCTCGGGAAAGAATGAACCCCTGTTCTCAGAGCAGGAGTATGCAGTATCCTTCCATAGGCGACATCCTCAGCTCTTTTTCTGAACTGAGGAGTTGATCTATTAGAATATTTCTGGCCAAATGTTCTGTGCGGTTGTCTAACGTTACAAAAGCCATCCTCGTGGTTAATACCCTGATGACTTCAGACCTGGTGGTAATTGTATGACCTTAGAACAGAGCCCTGCTAAGACTCTGATGTTTCCTTTTCCCAGATGTTACAAGTGCACAAAAGATTCGTCACTTTCAGTAACAGTAGTAGGGTTCCCTGGCTTTGATGACTAATTTTATTGAAAACAAAAAAAACATCAAATTTTAGTTACCCACATCTACTGAAAATGTCTTAAAGGAAACATTAACAATGCTGCTTCTTTTTACGGACTCTGGTTGTGCTTCCTCTATTAATTCTAATTTTTGAAAGTTTTATAAGATCTGACTGCCATATGATAAAGTTCACACATTTACACACAATATCGTAGACTTTCATGTATTTACAGGGTCATGAAGTCACCATTGTGATCAAATTCTGGACCATTTTCATCATCTCCAAAGAAGCCTTATTCCCATGATCAGTTTCTTCTTTTAGGCAACTAGAGTAGCTTTTTCTGGACATTTCTCAGCAAAGGATGTATACCATACGTGGTCTTTAGTGACTGACCTCCTTCACCGGCCTTACTGTTTTTGAGGTTCATCCAAATTGCAACCTGTGTCAATATTTCATTCCTTTTTATGGCCAAATAATATTCATCAGATGGACATGACACATTATATTTGCCCAGTTATCAGCTGATGGACATTAGGATCATCTCTCTTTCTGAGTTACTGTGAATAAAGTTTATACATTCCTGTATACATTTTTCCTTGGAAATATGTTCTCATTTCTCTTGAATCTATACTTAGGAATGGAATTACTGGGCCATATACCACCATGTTTTAACATTTTGAGGAATTTCAAGCCTGGCGTAATTGCTCTGTGGCTAAATCCTCACCTTGCATGTGCCAGGGTTCCATATGGGTACCGGTTCATGTCCTGACTGCTGCACTTCCCATCCAGCTCCCTGCCTGTGGCACGGGAAAAAGTAGAGAATGGCCCAAAGCCTTGGGATCCCTCACACACTTAGGAGACCTGGAAGAGGCTCCTGGCTTCAGATTGGCTCAGCTCTGGCTGTTGCAGCCCCTTGGGGAGTGAAACAGTAGATGGAAGATGCTTATGTAAATCTTCCTTTCCAATAGACATAAATAATTTTTTCTAAAAATAAAATTTTCAGGAATGTCTAAGCTGTTTTCTAGTGTAGCTGCACTGTTTTATGTTCCCTCTGACAACAGGGGGGTTTCTGATTTCTCTATTCCTTGTTGATTTTGTTTGTGTTTGGTGACTACCATACCAGTGAGGGTGAAATTGCAGCTCATTGTGTTGGGATCTGCGTCTCTTTAATGGTCGTTCCTGCCGAGTGTCCCTGCACGCGCTTATTGGCCACTTACACTTACTTGTCATTTTTGGTGAGGTTTTGTGCCGATTCTTAGGTTAGGCTATTTGTATTTTTGCTTTTGAGACAGGAGTGCCTCACTAGACATAGGAATTGAAAATATTTTTCTCTGGACCTGTCAATTGCTTTGTCTTTTTCTTGATGTCTTTTGTAGCACAAAAATGTTAACTTTGATGAAATACTATCTGTCAATTTCTTTTTATTGTTTTTGTGTCTTCAGTGTCATATCCTAGAAGTCACCCTGGATCATCAAAATGTCTACATTTTCTTTTAGAAGTATTATAGCACTTTTGTTTTTTTTTTTACTTTCAGGACTATATTTTAGTTCGTTTCATGTGTGGTTTGAGTTAATTTTTGTTTATTATTGAGGTAAGAGTACAACTTTATTCATCTGCATGTGGATATTCAATTGTTTGACCACTATTGTGAAAAGACTGTTATTTCCCCCATGGATTTGTCTTAGACATGTCCTTGAAACTAACTGACTTCATAACCATTAGGGTTTACTTTAGACTCTTAGCTATAAAAGCATTGCTTTATGTATGTCTATATTATGGCATTACCGTACTGTCTTGGTTATTGTAATTTAATCTAAAGCTTTGAAATTCAAAAATTTAAATCTATTAGGTTCTAGAAATCTTTTCAAGATTTCTTTTCATTATGAAGAATAAATTCAAAAACATGTTTATATTATAACATGTCTTAGCTGGGCACAGTCCATGGCGCATAGTGATGAATTAAATTGGACATATCACAATCATTAGAGAATGAGTTTATTGTAGTCAGCTCTTTAGGAGATACAAAGCACAGCCAAAACATGACACATATGTGACAGATGTTACAGTTTATTAAGAATAGTACAGAACTGAGATTGGTGCTTGCATGGGCAAATTGGCTAGCTAAGGTGAAACGCTGCAGAACTGAGGCCTGAGGAATATGCAACTTCAGTCTAGTTGCAATTCAATGATACAATTCTCCTGAACTATTCCTCGCCTATTCCTATTTCTGAAATATCTGTGACAGGCTCTGAAATTTTCTCACAGTCTTTGACTATTTTATAAAAAATTAAAAAATAGTCAGAAGTGAAAACCCCTTTTCTTCTCAGCCCCTCCTCTCACACTGAATAGAATGCAGGGCGCTCAATTAGAAGAGCAAAGAATTTCTGGCTTTCCCTACAACAGGTTATTTTTTGAAGATTTTAAAAAGACTTAACTATTTTTTTCAATGAGGGACAGGGAGAGATCTTCTGTCTTTCAACTTGCAGCTTAAACGGCTGCAACATCCAGGATCTTTGGCTGTCTCCCACATGAGTGGCAGGGTTGCAAGTAATTGAGTTGCCAAATGTTGCCTGCCAGGAGTATTAGCAAGACGCTGGATCAGAGGCAGAGCAGCTGGGACTTGAACCTTCACTCTAATAAGGAATGCCTGTGTCACAAGCTACAGTTTAACATACTGTGCCACAATGAAGCACCTTGCCTTGGACAGCAAACACGAAAGTGACAGTTCTCAAATTCTGAATAAAGTCAAAAGGCACTGAGCTGAGAAAGTTTTTCTTAAGGGCATCTTTTACTGTGGCTAGCGAGCAAGCATGCTGACAGAATCTAGGCTGATCTTGCACGAAAGCAGGAAGCCACCCATTTTATTGGCGAATTAGTTCAGATTGGCTGTCATTTGCACACACAGTTAGCACGGTTGTGGAGCTGCTTCTTGGGATAGGTCAAGTTAGAACTCCCTTTCTTGATCTCTCCAAGGTGCTGCTTTGAAGAAGGAAGATCAGATGGTTCCTGCAATAATTTTCTTAATCCAGTTGAGGTATTTTTTGGTAAGGAGAGTGTAGACTCCAGGCTTCTTGGAGCTACCACATTTCCCAAAGGAGGTAACACCCTTGAAAATGTTATTGCAGATCAGTGGGCTTCCAGAGTCCCCCTGTAACAGAAGGTCATGTGTTTTCAATGTGTGCTTTTCATTCACTCATTCGTTTACCCACATTTCACGCACATTCTCCCGTCTTTATTTCCTTCTTTAAAGACTAATTTACAAATCTTTAAATCATCTTCCCTCGGCATCAGTTAACACAGAGCCTTTAGAAGGCTTGGTATGGGAGTCTCAACCATCAGCTAAGCTATCTCAGACCTAAAATGTATTGCTTCAGACACCTTTTGGGGTTTTCTGCCTCTGGATTCACTAGCTCCGATGAAATTCTCTCTGGCTTTCTAAACCATTCAGGAATCCTTAGTTCTAAAGGGGTTCAAACTCTGGCCACGCCTTGGCATATAGATAGAATATGCGTGACAACAGTGAGGTTGGGAGACAGTGCTGTTGCAAGTCTAATTGCACTCCACTGCTAGCAAGGTATTTAACTGGGGGAATGAAAGCAGTTTCTTACACATCAATTTCCTCACCTGTAAAACGAAGGTGATAACAGTGCTTATCTCATCACACAATCTGAGTGTTAAGTAGTACAACAAGGTACAGTAGAATTTGGTGCAGTCTTTGGCACCTGATAAACATCAGCTCTCATGTTCATTACTGAGAGAGTTGCCCAAATTGTCCATGCATCGAGATGCTGAAAATGATCACGAGGGATTACTCCCTGAGTGTTTAGTAGGGGGAACAGAGCACACCACTGTCAGGCAGTGGTCCAACCTAGTACATGAATAATAGTACTAGTTGTTCTTCCTATCACTGTCTTTTAACCTTATCTTCCATAGTCCCCAACAAGTTAAAAAAAACTTCACTTACAGCGCATGAATCGTCTTCTCCTTTTTTACCACCAGCACAGATCATGCTGTTTTCAACAATTGGCTTGAGATTATAGTGTTTTGCATCATTGCATATTTTTCTGTCTATCACGGTGATGTTGACTTCTCTCAAGGTGTTGGAAATCTTGCACGAGTCTTTTTTGGTGCTGCCCCATCCTGCTACCTGACACTTGCTGTGAGGTTTCACGTCATCCCCTGAGTTGGGCAGGTCAAGCACTCCCACAGCCTTGGTGATCGTTGCTTTCTTATTCAGCTAGAAAACAGGCAGCAAACAGTTTTAGGCAAAGTAGCACGAACGAGAAAACAGTTTGTATTGGTTATATAGTTTAGCTTTATTTACGTGGTCCTTTGCAAAGGACACGGCTCAAGACACATTCCAACCTGTCTTGAAAATTGGTACCTGATTTTTAAAAAAACTTATAATGTATTTTGCTGGGTTAGTGCAAGTAAACTTCACTTCAGTTGATATGTTGATAGTGGTGGCTGACAGTTTTTCCCTGAAACTATACTGGGACCCCAGATCATTTTATTCAAATGGTGTTAGATTTGTGAACTGACTGGTACTGAGACCAACAGAAGCAAACCAGGGCCTTCTGGTGCAGTGTGGGGAGGATGGGAAAGGAGTCAGCATCCTTCTTTTTCGCTTTACTGGGAAGGTGGCTTCCCTGACTCTGAGCACGGGCAATCCAGCTTGAGGGTCTCACCTGCCTTCAGGTGCTGACCCACACTCAGTCCTTTTCTTTGCTGCCCTCTTTTTGGCTCACCCCCCTTGATCTGTTACCAAAAGGTCAAAGCAAGAAGAATAGACAGTGTGATCATAGGGTAGGGTGTGTTATTTCATTTCCTCTTGCCTCACCCAGAGAGCAGGGTCCTGGCACTGTGGAACTTGGTGAGCACAGGAACTCATTGTCAATGGCCACTGTTACATGCTTGTCATTGCACTGCTGTCAAGCTCCATTTCCTGGAACTAGATTCTCTCCCTTTCTATATGTCTCCTTTGAGCTACTGGTGCTCCTATGCTCTCTGCTAACACTGACAAGATCAAGTCTCTGCATAGAACAGGTCTGCCAATGCCCATGAATAGCTTATCTACTTCTCTCCCTGGCATGCTTTCTCATGGCTGGCACACTGTTATCTGGAGCCACAGAGTAGGAGGAAAAAAGGGCTAGAAGTTTTCATGAATGCATGAGGAATTGGAGTCAGGGAAGCCTCTGGAAGGATCAGTCCACTGCAGCTCTCTTAAGGTCCAAGCACAGAGGATCACCATAATCACAACTCCAGTTGTAGCCCTGGAAAGCCAAAAGCATCCTCACTCCCTTTTCTTGGTTTTCCTGCAGCATCATATACTGCCCCCAGTGCTAGAGGTGGAAGGGGGTTTCCTGATCCTACTCCATGAGCAGAGATGGTTCACCTTCCTTATGCCCCCTCCTCCTCTGTAAAAGTGAGTTTTTCAGGCCTTCAGGCACACCTGCTCTCCTGCTTGCTAGGAGACCTGAGTCTAGACCGCTTCCCTTCTCTCCACTAACTTTGTTACTGTGTAGCTTAACTCCACCCCTTGTTCAGATTTTACTCAAAAAATATTCTTGGAGAGCCAGTTATATGCCAGATACTATTCTAGGAATTGGAGGACATAGAAGTAAATAGACAAAAATATTTACCCTGTGGAGCTCATGTTTTAAGGACGGAGGAAGAGAATGAAACTCCATCAAAAGTATTTATTTCAGTGTTAAATTCCAAAGGAAAAATGCCATGGGGAGTGGGCTCTGGAGTGCCCTCAGAGGGTGGGGGAGAGGTTTGCTTTTGTTTTTTTTTGCCTAGGCTGTATGGTTACAATAGAGTTGGGGTTGAGAGGGGAGACCTGGCCCAGAAGCCTCAAGGCAGGGGTAGTGCGGGAGGCCAAGCCTCTGAGTATTGGAGTGCCAGGAATGTGGAGGTTTGGCCGGAGCAGCTAGTGCTCAGGGGGTCCTTTATTTACACTAAGAGGCTGTGCTGGAGCTCTAGGCTTCTGTTTAAGCTAACAGCTCCTTTGGAATGAGCGGGAACTGCCAGTTCATCTCTGCCTCCCTTCATTCCACTTTCTGCACAGAATGAGGACTCTTGCAGGCAGTCTGATTATGTTACCTCCCTGCTTAAAACCCTTTCCTTCTCCTTGCGCACAAAGTTCAGCCATCCTGGTTTGCAAATCTTGGTATTGAGGTTTACTGTCCCGCACACCTCTCTTTCTCAGGATCACTATTTTTTCTCTACTTTTCCTATGAATGCCTCCTTCTTTACCCCCGTGCTCTTCATCTTGTCTGGAAGCCTCTGCCCTCTCTTTTCCACAGCCTGGGAGGATGCTGTCCCCATCACAGCTCTTCCCTGGATAGAGCGTCACTGGTGACCAGGGAGGAGGGATCATCTATGGCCATAGAGCGCTGTGTCCCAGCCATGCTGTCTCCCCCCACGCCCCAAGCAGAAGACAATCTTGTGAAGCTAAGTGTATAGAAATGCTTAGTATTTAAGAAAACAAAATTTAAATTTACCTGAATGAGTTGAAGATCCCCTTCAAATGTCTCTGGGTCGTAGCATGGATAGGAAATTGCTCTTTGAATGGAAAATACTTGCTCAAGCTTCTCTTTATTGGATGCAGTATGAGCCCCAAGAATAATTTGAGGTTTTCCTTTTCTGGGAAAAGAAATAATATAAAACCCAATATAAGACAATGGGTGCAACTTTACTTAGTAAAGAATGATCCGTGTTTCCACACGGGATCCTGTCTATGAGCAAGGCAGCAAGAATGGAGGAAACATACAGGGCTGGTTTTTTTTTTTGTGTGTGTGTGTGTTTTAGAAGCTTTCACCTAAAAATCCAGAGACCTGTGCGTTTATAGCATGTGGCCTCAACCTCACTGAGTCTTTTCAAGCAGGGCAGGAAGCCACAGGGAAAGAATCCCAGATTTTTGGTGGGGGGGGCAAGAGCACTGGGGCTAAAGGCCTGGAGAGGTCGGCTGGGTGCATGCCTGGAGTGGGGGGCACTCCTTGGGGTAAGGGTGAAGGTGGGGTGTGGTGGCCATTTCCTGGGGCTGCTAGGGTGGAGGGAGCTGGGCATGACCTTGGGCTGCCCAAGGAGGAGCTGCCGCTCTGTGCAACTACTTTAGATTTGTAGAATAAATCATCTCTTCCAGTGGTCTTCCCTGACAATTGGATTAAGAGATTAAACCCAGAAACTAGAGCAGTTGTAGCAGGTTCATTTTCCTGAGTGTGTTTCTTTAAAGTTTCCCAGGGGAAGGGCAGTTGACAAAAGCAGTCAAATAGCAGTAATTTCTACTCAATCAATTTAATATGCATGGTCATGGGATGCCACCAATGATATGATAATATATAACCATCTGTAACCCTAGAGGACATTTAATTTGATCTACTTTGTAAAATACACTCATGAAAAAGTTCTGGATCAAAATATATCACAGGGCTTGGCACGGTAGCCTAGAGGCTAAAGTCCTCACACACGCTGGGATCCTATGTGGGCACCGGTTCTGATGTCAGCAGCCCTGTTTCCCATCCAGCTCCTTGCTTGTGGCCTGGGAAAGCAGTCAAGGATGGTCCAAAGCTTTCGGATCTGGCACCCACATGGGAGACCTGGAAGAGGCTCTTGGCTCCTGGCTTCAGATCTGTGCAGCTCCAGTCGTTGCAGCTGCTTGGGGAGTGAGTCAGTGGATAGAAGATCTTCCTCTCTGTCTCTCCTCCTCTCTGGTATATCTGGCTTTCCAATAAAAAAAACTTTAAAAAATATATAATCAAAGTAGTAACAGTTTTTATGTAAGTTTGATTAGATTGTTTCTGTTTTTTTCTTTCCTCTTTGTGTTTAAAATGTTTAGCATGATTTATTTATAGTGAAACATTAAAATAATGCAATGAAGTAACCAAACATTTTAATCTATGCTACTGGACCTAGCTTTCACTCGCTGAGGCGAATATTCTAATAGGATGTGATGTGCTTGTCTACTTTCTTTGTCCGCACTTAATTTTGGTTCTGGACTTGATAATCATTTTCACCTCCCAGAATCCACGTTGAGAACAAGGAGAGGCAGCATCTACTTACAGGTCACAGTGAGCAGCCGTCAACACCCAGTTGTCTTTGATCAAAGCCCCTGCACAAGTTTCCAGCCCTTTTATCAGGACCATGTAGCGTCTTGCGTGAAGTGGCACTTCATTTCCCCCTATAATTCCCTCGCAGGAGTCTAGAAAAACTTAAAAGAGTAATTCAGAGTGAATTCCTTCGCTCCCAGGCAGTTTGACTACAGTGAATAGTATCAGCACAAGTTCATGAACAGGTGCTCTGTGAGAAGCAGAGAAGCTTCAGGGCTCCGGGAGTTTGGCTTGGGAGCTTTTTCTGGCAGCATTTGTGACTATGATGCTGTTCCCTGCAATGCACGCTTGTGCAGAGTGTGTAGTTCCATGATGAGTCTAGTAAAGGCTGAGTGCCCTTAATCAAATACTGCTGTGGCACACTGCATAAAGTCACTACTTGTGGTGCTGACATTCCATGTAGGGTGCCAGCTAAATGTCTCCACTTCTCTGCTTCTGACACAGCTCCCTGCTCTTGCTCCTGGGAGGACAGTGGAAGATGGCCCAATATTTAGGCCACTGCTACTCATGTGAGAGCCTCTCTAACTCTGGCTGTTGTGGCCACTTGGGGGAGAGAGCTAGAGGATGGAAGATCTTTCTCTTTCTCTTTTTCTCTCCTTCTCTCTTTGTTGCTCTGCCTTTCAAGTAAAGAAATATATCTTTAAAACTCTTTCCAAAATCGGAAATGCTTCCAGATCTGAAACTCTTTGAGTGTACCACCACAAGTGGAAAATTCCATGCAACAAAAAAATTTGCTTCAGGCATATAACAGTGAAAAGTACTGTAAAATTACCTTCAGGCAACTAATAAAAGGTGTATATAAAGCATAAATGAATTTCATATTTAGACTTGGGTTCTAACCCCAAGGCATCTCAATAAATATATGTTAAATTCCAAAATCTTTAGAAAACCTGAGATCTGAAACTCCCAATTATAAGCATAACTCCCAATTATTACTCATTTTATTATGAGTAAACAGTCCTAGTAAGACTTTTAAAAACTAATTTTTAAGGATTTCTTTTTATTTGAAAGGCAGAGTTAGTTATCTCTAAATTGATGTCTCCTTTCTCTTCTTAAAATTTTTTAAAAATACAAAAATGCTTCTCTCTGGGAATCCGGATGCTCATGTTGTAATGTCCTAATAAGTCAGCATGCTAGCTTAGAATGCTGATTGTCTGGACCCATCTTTGGAGTGAGCCAGGGAATCTACGCCTTGAAGAAGCACCCCAGAAGATTCTGGTACAACTGGCACCTGGCTCAGTGGTGTGTTTTGTAGGCTGTGGCCCAGCCTAGAAAGCCATGGTTTATGCTGATTTTGTGCTTAGAGAGCTGGAGGAGATGGGGCAAGCACTGTCGTATTTGGGGCCAGACATGTGTAACTTGGCTCTGGTTCCCAAACTTGGCCTTGCTGTTCCTCAGTTGCATGGATGCTCATTGTCTACATTCTGCTTCAGGGGCAGGTGGTTGGAACCTTGTTGGGCTGGCAGAGATAAAAAAATTTCTTATTAATAAGACATGCATTTGTGCAAGGAAAGGAGGTGTTGTATTTTAACACCTGAGGCAAAAAGGCATCTTGGAGGGCAGCCAGTCTCCATGGAAACTAAACACATTGTGCTGGTTTTGTGAGCTCCATGTTATTGTAGCTCCCTGAGAAAACGGAATCAGCAAAGGGCTATAATCACCCACCTTATAAATACCAAATTGCAGCTTTTAATGGCCTTTGTTTATTTTATTCATTTTTTTCTCTTGTTTGTTGTTATTTGTGCAGAAAAATATGATGAAACAGACAAGCTAAAAGAAGAGTGGATAGAGGCATAAAATATGTGTTTTGGCTAAAGAATAAATGTTGGTGAATGCCCCCACCAGGGAAAGACAAAAGCCAATTGCTCAACTGCACTTCTAGTTAGACTTAACTAATTCCAGGCTGAAATCACGACAAAAGCTCTTTCCTAAGGAATAAACACACTCATCCAATTTCTTTTTCACGCAGGTATTACAGTTATGTTTGAATAACTACTGTTAAAATGGGTGCAAAGATGAAAGAAACACTGTTCTTGCCATCAAAGAAAATTCTAAAGGTAAAGACTGTAGATGACAGCATGAAGCAGTGCCAGGGCAGAGAGCATGCGAGATGCCCCAGGGTACACACGAGGCACAGAGGATTCCAGAGATGGGAGAGAACGGAGTTGGCAGGGAGCCTGTGAAGCCTTTCTGCAGAACGCATTTTTTTTTCTCTGAAGGAAATCGAAAGGTGAGTAAGAGTTCAACAGTTGGTGCCAGAGGGGATTTCAAGCGTCTGGGTGCTGTAAGTAAAAGGCAGCATGGTTAGGGATGAAGGGAGAGAATAGATTGCCCACAGAGTGATAAAACTGATGTAAGGACTCCTCATGGACAGATGCTTTGAAGTCCTGACATGACATGTATCTCAGAGCCTGTTCTTCACATTTTAACTGATAGCAAAGTGAATTTAAGACTCCATCTTGACCTGCTGTTATTTAATTGTTCAGATTAAATTAATTCTAATGTCTATGACTTCCCACGATCTCCCTGAGTATAGTATCTTGAATATAAACGATATTTTTTCTTCCCCAAGATTTTGAAGTAGCTTTAGAAGAGTGTCCATGTCCTTCCTGCATCCTTGAAGTAGTAAGTTTCAGGCAATTTCATGAAGTTCAGTAAACAGGAAGAATGAAGACTCACCCATCAGTCCTTCTGCTTCCCTACCCTTCCCAGACTGTTCACTTCCCCCTGTAGGTTGGCTTGTTCCAGTGTCATTTCATCCTGGACACTCTCATGGCTTTAAAAAAAATCTCACAATATTCCAGGGAAAGGGTATTGTTTTGAAATGAAGACTTAGTAAGTTACATGGAAATCAAAGGGAAAAAAAATCAAAGGAAAAGATTCTAGTGACAATAATAAGGGAAACACCTGTGATTTAATATCCAATTATCAATGCCAGACACTCCCTCTGATGTTTACCACCCTGAAAGGTGAGGATTAGAGTATCCATGTGGGATATGGAAAATAGATTCTGCAAAGGGCAATTCACTTATGCATTTCATGCAGTAAAATTGGCAAAGCAATTTTCTAATCCTGTTCCACGTCATGTAAAACTCTCTTTTTCCCATCGTGAAGAACTTTCTTCTAGAGTAGTGACTCTTTCCCTCTTTCGTTTGAAATACAGAGCCCTGGGAGAGTGTGATAAAGTACCTTGCACATATGCATGTAAATATTTGCATCCAGTTTTTGGAAACTTTTTGAGATTCTCTACCGACTTTGAAGGAGCTTGTGGGTTCCATGTTAAGTCCTCAGCTCTGATGGTACCATTGAGCTGTGTCATATATGTTAAGAACATAAACGATGGAGCTGGCATCATGGATCAATTGGCTAACCTTCCACCTGCAAGTGCCAGAATCCCATAAGGTTGGCGATTTGTGTCCTGGCTGGCTCCACTTCCCTTCCAGGTCCCTGCTTGTGACCTGGGAAAGCCATAGAGGATGGTCCCAAACCTTGGGACCCTACACCTGCATGAGAGATCAGGAAGAAGCTCTTTGCTCCTGGCTTCGGATCGGCTCAGCTCTGGCAATTGTGGTCATTTGGGGAGTAAACCCGCAGATGGAAGATCTTTCTATTTCCCCTCTCTATAAAATCTGACTTTCCAATAAAATAATAGATAAATCTTAAAAATAATATAAATTATGGGTTCAAATCTCAATCCTACTACTTAGTAGTTGATGAACCTTAGTAAATTTAGTTAATCTTTCTGTGCCTTTGTTTCCTTATCTCTAAAATGGGGCTTAAGAAGATTAAATGAATTAATATATGTAAAGCACTTAGAAAATCGCTATTCTTCATTTCAAATTTCATGAGTCAGTAAATACATACACACATATAAATAGGCATAAGAATCATCGGATTATTTTATATGTATGAATGTAAGAGAATACATTCTGAAATGAGAAGTTTTTAATTTATCTGAGATTCATGGCCACGTAGCTGTTCATACTTGTAAGTCTGGGAGATCCGGTTAGTAAGTAATCAGTACATCACACATTTCTTAGGCTTTCACTTAAGAGTTGGTCGTGGATCTGGATTGAACTTACAGCAGCCACCAGATCTAGTTAATGTTTTCGAGTTTTTTGTTGTAGACACATGAGTACATTTTCTTCTTAAAAAGTTCACATGCCTTTTAGATAGCGAAGAATGGAAATATTGAAAACATTGAAAATCATTAGCCATTTACCTGTTCACGAACAAAACTGAAAAGCATTTGAAAAACATGTCTTACCTGCAGGAATGAGGAGAAAAATAGCAACAGGAAAAGGAAAAAGAAGTGAGTTTTTCATGGCTTCTGTTCTCCGCCGATGGAGCCCGTGTTGAGGTGCTGACTAGTCTAGATAATGAAGCACCGAGGAAGTGAGTTCTTTTTTCCCTCTTTCTGTGCTGTGATGCTAAAGGCTTTGGTGTTTTGTTACCGGAAGGTAAAATCTTAATTTATCTGTGGTGTGGTTTCTTATTTGTTTCACAAGCGGGGTTATTTCCTTTGGGGTTAGATGACAAATGTGAAGTCACAAGATGGTGCTGATTTCAGACTGTCGAAGACGCTGCTCTTTTCTGACAGTGTTCTCACTTGGGTGTGAGTGTCTAAGGGCTCTCAGACCAGTCTGTGCTGCAGGAACAGAACACCTGGACCTGGCTAATTCATAAAGAACAGAGACACACTGTCCATAATTTTGGAGGCTAGAACACCTAAGTTTAAGGGGTTCTGGTTGCTGGCGGGGGCCTGCCTACTGCACTACCATGGCAGAAAATATCACAGGAGAGAGAGACCGAGGCAGAGAGGGTGGCATTAGTGGGTGGGGGGGGGGAGTGGGCAGATCAGATCCTTTTTTTTTTTCATCAAGAATCCACATCTAACAACAAACCTACTCTTGCAATAGCAGCATTAATCGATTCATGAGGGTGAGGTTTAAATGTCCACCCCGTGACATTTTTTCAATGAGGATGGTTAGGTTTCCAACACGAGAACTTATAGGGACACATTCGAACAACAGCAGACATTTATATCAGAAATTTGTTTTGAAATATCTTTAAATCTATGCTACAGGGCAAAGCTACATGATACATTCATTAGTGGGACTAGTCATCAGGGAAAAACTGAGGTTAGATTCTGAACTCACACTATTTAACTATGAAAGTACCAATAAAGATAAATATTTCTGTATAGGTGGAGTTGAAGAATGCCTTCTGCAACATGATGCCCAAAGCAGGCAGTGTAAGCAAAATCAATGATACGTTCAATTATGAAGGAGGTGAAACTTCTGTAGCCTAAAATATCAATTAAGAAGTCAAAGTGCAAGCATTTTTCAGGTTGAAAATGATCCAAATGTGCCCCAAAGAAGGAATTGGGCAGGAATGTTAGTTTTCTTGCTGTAACCAAGGATTACCTCTTGGCTGTTTAAAAATAATACAAATGCATTATTTTGCAGTTGTGTAATTCAGAATTCCCCACCCTCACCCCCAGGCTGAAATGAAGGTGTTAGCAGTGTGACGTTCTTTTCACCCCATTTCCTTGCCTCGCTAGCTGCTGTGTGTTGCCACAGGTGGTTCCAGTTCAGCCTCAAAGCCAACAGGGCGGCAGTGGAATCTTTTTCATGTATGATGCTTACTCTTCTGCCTGTTGTCATTTTAAGGATGTTTGAGATTGCATAGGATCATCTTATTTTTTTCTCTTTAAAAAAATTGTGTTTAGGGGACTGGCGCAATAGCCTAGTGGCTAAAATCCTGGCCTTGAACACACCGGGATCCCATATGGATGCCGGTTCTAATCCTGGCAGCCACACTTCCCATCCAGCTCCTTTCCTGTGGCCTGGGAAAGCAGTCGAGGACAGCCCAAAGCTTTGGCACCCTATTCCTATGTGGGAGACCCAGGAGACGCTCCTGGCTCCTGGCTTTGGATTGACTCAGCTCCAGCTGTTGCAGCTGCTTGGGGAGTAAACCATTGGATGGAAGATCTTCCTCTGTCTCTCCTTCTCTCTGTATATCTGCCTTTGCAATAAAAATAGATACATCTTTAAAAAGTTAAAAAGTATGTATTTGAAAGGCAGAATGATTGAATATGGAGAGAGACAGACCTTCCACTCATTGATTTGCTCCCCAAATGATCAAAATGGCCGAAGTTGGTCCACGCTAAAGCCAGCAGCCTGGAGCTCCGTCTGGGTCTTCTATATGGGTGGTGGGGACTGAACACTTAGATTATTTTCGATTGCCAGGCACAACAGGGGGGAGCTGCACCAGAAGTAGGGTAACTAGGACTAAAACTGTACTTCAACATAGGATAATAGTGTTGTTGATGGCAGCTTAGCTCACTGTGCCACATCACTCGACCTCATCTCCCTATTTTCTTTTTTTTTTGAAAGATTTATTTTATTTTTTTATTGCAGAGTCATACACACACACACACACACACACATATTTGAGGAGAAACAGAGAAATACCTTCCATCTGATGATTCACTCCCCAGGCAGCCACAATGGCCAGTGCTGTGCCGATACAAAGCCAGGAGCCAGGAGCTTCCTCCAGGTCTCCCATGCAGGTGCAGGATCCCAAGGCTTTGGGCTGTCCTCGACTGCTTTCCCAGGCCACAGGAAAGGAGCTGGATGGGAAGTGGGGTCGCCGGGATTAGAACTGGTACCCATATGGGATCCTGGTGTGTTCAAGGCCAGGAGTTTAACTGCTGTGCTATTGCACCAGGCCCTGCCTGCCATGTTAAATTAGTCCTTGTATGCAAGCATCAAGTAACAAGGAAAACCATCATTAAGTGTTGTGGTGGCAGACAGCTCTTGTTGGTCACCATGAATCCCTTGTTCTTCACATAAGTTCTCGGACCTTGGCCACTTGTGTGCTTCTCCAGCTACCCTGGACAGCTGCTTTGGGTAGCCCTGGACTATCTTCACTGGGTACTCCCCGACAGCACCATGCCTCATAATCTGCCTCACATACCTTCTGCCTCCCTGCCTTGGGTTCCAATGCTGCTGCCAAGGCCGTGGGACACAGCATGATGTGTGAACGCTGGGGAAGTTAATGTCTTTCTGGAACATTCATTAATGAGCAGGAGCAGTTCTTACGGCTTTTGGAAGACAGTCTGAGCAGTCCTTTGTGCTTGATGTGAGAAGCTTCCTTCCGGTGCTCTCCTTCCACTCACCTTCTTTCCTATTCTGCAGCAATCCCTGAGAAAATAAGAGCACATCATCTCTGCTACCAGCAGTGACTTTGTAAATCAGACCCACAATATGAGACTTGGAGGGCTCGCTAGCCCGACTGTGTTGTGGACCCCTTTGCCTGTGCTAAGTGTAGTGTTGCTAGCTCTAGCATGAAGTAGCGTCTACAGGCATTGCAATAATAGAGGTGGGGGTGAGGAGGGGAGCTTGCCTGTTGCTAATACAGAGTAAAGGTGGGAGGTGAAAGCAGGGCTGTGCAGCAGCTGTGGTAAGGACTGGCGTGGCAGTGTGATTCTGGAGAGGGCTGGTTCCTGTTAATGGCATTAGATTCTTGAGAAAACACAGGCATAGGCAACTAACTGCAGCACTGGGCGCACGACTCAGGCCAAGAGGTCTCATTGAGACTATCATCTGTGGCTACAATTCATTTGCTGTTTTTTTAAAAAGCTTTTTAAAAATGTTTAATTTATTTTTGAAATCAGAATCACAGACACACACAGAGGGAGAGAAAGACACACAGAGAGAATCTATTTGCTGGTACACTCTCCAAATGGCTGCAACAGTCACTGCACTGGGACAAGTAAAGTCTATAGATATCACTGGACAGTGCGGTACCAGAGAAGGGTTTTTGTAATTTATTTATTTTGGCAGTAGGAGCATCTGTTCATTCAAAAGAGGCCACTGTGGTACCAAGGTGGAAACAGTGGTAGCTCCAGTGTTTTTCAATTTGTTGGAAACTGGGTGTTTAGAAATTATCTTGGAGTACCATCTTCATAGAAATACACAGTTTTAATTTACAAGTAATTCTGGTTGAGGATGGGGAGGGCAGGAACCTGTGTGGGGAGGTGAGGTGAAGGCTGCCAGTGGTGGAGGAGGAAATGAAACTGGAGGCAGGGTGATTCGGAGTGGACTTGGTGTGTGGGATGGGGCAGAGTCATCGCCTGCTTTCTGTTAAAGGGCCAGTGTGAGAATTGCATTTCTCTGAAGTGAGCTGGGTGAGTGACCAGTAATTAGAAGTGTCTGACTTTCTGAACTGTGGATGCGGAATGAACTTTGTCACGAGAACAGACATTTGTGGGTTCCTTTGTCTGTCATTCTGGTTGTAGATTGGTTACTTAGATGTGGTCCAGGGCCAGAGGTTTCTGCATGGTGGGTTTTCTAGGTAGTGAGACTACGGAACTGTTCTTGCCTCCCTTAGATGCTCCGCACATAGCTCGGCATCCTCCTTTGCCACCAGCTCGACCATTTACCATCTGCTACTGAGGCCACAACTACTGAAATTGTTTGGACAGTCCTTTCGTCTCTCTCTCTTTTTAAAACCACTTTATTGAGACATACCATGTAATTTACCAATTTAAATGTATAAATCAAGGATTTGGGGGTTTATCATAACATTTAAAAATTATTGAAAATGTGGGCCCCATGCGGTAGCCTAGCGGCTAAAGTCCCTGCCTTGCACACGCTGGGATTCCATACTGGTGCTGGTTTGTGTCCCGGCAGCCCTGCTTCCCATCCAGCTCCCTGCCTGTGGCCTGGGAAAGCAATTGAGGGCAGCCTAAAGCCTTGGGACCCTGTACCCACTTGGGAGACCTGGAAGAAGCTCCGGGTTCCTGGCTTGGGACCTGCTCAGCTCTGGTCACTGCAGCCAGCTGGGGAGTGAATCAACGGACAGATCGTCCTCTCTGTTTCTTCTCCTCTCTGTATACCTGACTATCCAATAAAAATAAATAAATATTTAAAAAATGTTTGAAAATGTGCGTAACACAAAACGTACCATTAAGACCATGTAAAATTTATGAGAGAGAGAGAGAATACACTCCCACCTATTGTGTCTATTCTCTGGTGTTCGCAATTTCTTGGGCTAGTCCAGAGCTAGAGACCGGAAATAGAAATGCAATGTAGGTCTCCCAAGGGTGACAGGAGCCCGATTATTTGAGACTTCACTGCTGTCTTCCAGGGTCTACAAAAATGGGAAGTGAGAGTCAGGGGTTGAGCTGGGTGCTAACGCAGGTACTCCAGTGTGGACTGTGGGCATCGTAAGGCTAAACATCAGCAGGCTAAACATCCATTCCTCAACTCTTTTTAATTGTACAATTCAGTGGCACTAATCATATTCACAATGTTGTATAGCCATCATTGCTATGCATTTCTAAAATTTTTATTTCTGTAAATCAGAGCTGGGAAACGTAATTCACAGGCTATTTATAAGGACTATGAAATCCTTTGGTTTT